CACTGTTTTACTGTGTTTCCAGCACGTGAACTTGGGTGAGCTTATTCCAAACATAGCATTAGTGCACGAGGAATTAAAACAAACAAACAAACAAAAAATAGTGAAGGACATGGTTACATGTTGTAGAGAAATTTGGTGTTAGATCTAAGAGAGGGAAGAAATATATACTATGGCAGCTTGCTACAGGGAAGTTGAGTCCATCACCAGGGAAGTGGTCAGTGAAGTGTGAGAGACACACAGTATGGTGCATTCTGAAGACGTTAAAAGCTGGGAACAGGAATCACAAATGGTGAAGTGGTTGGATCTTAAAACATAATACTGTGTGGGGCAAAGGTACAAGAACACAACCCATATACAGTATAACACTGTTTATTTTAAGAGAATCCCTGTATCACAAACTCAAGAATATATACAAACACATTAAAGCATTTCATTGGGAGAGGAGAATGGAATTAGATTGTGGCTTTGTCCCAAATGCTGTGACAGTGTGACAAATGCTGAAGACTCTCCTCACTTCAGTCTCTGTGGGAGACAGTCCTCCACAGGTCTCTTGCATTACGATGCGTCCTGTGATGGGCGCGGGGACAGACAAGCCTTGCTCTGTGCTGTCCACTCAGGGTGTTTGTACAGACTACACAGTGCTTCCTCTGGTGCACAGGCAGGTTTCTTTGCCTCCCAGAATAATAAAGATAATGCCTCACTCTGAAATACAAGTCAGGCAGATTGCTAGAATCCTATTATGAAAGAGCGGGGGTCTCCAAGCCCAAGACCCTTGTAATAAAATTCCATCCTGTACCTGTGCAGCACCCACCTCTGCATTCTCATGGGAATTAAGGCTCAGGGAGAACCAAAGTAAACAGTGTGTCCCAATGCTCACTCATCTCTTAGAAGGGGTTAGGGTCCACCCAGGGAAGATTCACAGGACCACAACGCAAAAGAGGGGAAATTGTTTCCTCCCTTCTCCTGTGTCCCCTCCAGCTCTGTATCGCTCCTCCAAAGACAAATTAGCATTCAACTGAGATTTAACTAGCTAACTGCATCCCAAAAAATTATCTTTTCATTTTGAATATGTTCCCAAAAGGTTTTCATTCTTAGTGTTGTCCCTTAAATTGAAGCTTCTTTGTAAATTCCCTGTACTGAGATCTAGTGCTTACTGTGGGAAATAGGGCTTTTTTTTTTTTTGTATTTTCTACTTAAATCCCTGTTTGTATCAATAACAATGAAAATCATTCATCATAAGTCAACAGGCTCTCAGGCTAAGAAGAGATCAAAGGTCTCAGTTAAGAACCTGGCAAACTCTCCAAAGATGAAGAAAGCTCCTAAGGTCACCCCCCCACACCCACACACACACACAAAACAAAAAAACAAACAAAAAAATTCTATTCATTCACCTTTTCAAGTTCAGTCAGCAACATTTCTAAAGTGTACATCAGTCAATCTTGAGGTCTAATTTATTAATAATATCATTTAGTAAGAATGGTTAACACATGGATTCCTCTGCTTGTATTTCTCCACAGACTGCTTAGCAAAAAGCAAATGTCTTCAATTGGTACAAGTTTGTCTCCAGCAGTGTGTTGAGGTCTGGACTTCAGAATGTCATTTCCTACTCATACAAGGATGGCTTTTGTCATTGAAAGAGACAAGGCTACCTGGGCCACAGAAATCACCATGTCCCTCCCTCTCAGTGCGTCCCATTTCTACTATGGCTGAGGTGAGCAGCTCTTAGTACAAAGAATTAGAAATAAAGTTCACCACCGAGGTAGAGAGCCACCAGGCTGAGTTTGAGTTTCCACTTCAGCCACTGGATTTTTATACTTTCCCAGTGAGAGGAAAATATGTCTGTTACCATTTCATAGGAAGTATGATTATACAAAGTAATCTGTCTCCTTTGAATTACATCCTTCAATACATCCTCAAGGGTGGCTTTAACAATCACAGGACATTTAGGACCACCTCCTTCAGAAGTGACCCCTTGGCTTGACAGACTCTCTGTTATTATCTCGCTTAGGCAAAGAACTAATTTCAAACCCACATATTAATCACTGTTATGATATCCAAATCTATAAATGCTGGAGTTCACCTTTTTGCGATGTTTTACATTAATGGGCCCCAAAGAGCAAAAGTACACCAAATTGAAACCAGTATTTTCTGTTACTGTAGAATATACTTATGTGTATCGGTTGTTTTCCTCAAAGGAATATTTTAAAACTTGAATTTTTCCAACTGACAGTCTCCAATTAGAGCTTTATAAGGCTTAAGTTAGAAATATAGTTAATTGCAGCCTATGCTTATTACCCAACAAGATGAAAAGACACAGATACAAACAACCCCAAACCTACTGTTTTCTCTGCTTTGTCCTTTTTCACTGTGACATTCAAAATCTGTCTTCTTCGATTTAAACCACTGATAAACAACTGAAAAAAAAGTGGCCAAACCCGACATATATAAATAATAAAACCAAAATGTATCAAATGATGAAACAAATAATAATTAAATAATACTAAAAGATTGGATAAAAGAATAATAATCAAAATCTCAAATGAAAGAGAAGGAAATTTGACGCAGAAGGGTAAGGGGACAGAGAAGTCAAACAAGTTCTTTTTTAACTTTTGTGGCAAAACCTCTCGCCTCAAGCTTTCAAGATTACTGGAAAGCCCAAAGGAGGAGCTCCCGTCCCTCTCCTTGGGGGCTGCAGCCAAGATCCGGCCATTGTAGGCTGAATCTTTGAGTTCTAGGTGGGATTATTTATCAGGGATTTTGTTTTGTCTGGGTTTTCAATAGCCCAGCCCCAGCTGTACTTTTGGGGACAGACCTCCGCCTCCATCAACAGAGAGTGTGCAGCGGTCCATTCGGAAGCAGCCCCTCCCCGCAGAGCTGGAGTAATTAACAGACCATTAAGTCACTTCTGCTTTATTGAGGGGGATACCGTGCAGGTCACTGCTTTGAAAACCTTTGTTCTTGAAGGAAATTACAGGATTGTTTTCGGGTTAGAACACAGCCTGGTGAACTCAGTAGTCCAGAGACAAGTTTCTGTAGCTCAGGGAACTACGGAGAAAAGGATTGTAATGACACTCATTCCATTAAAAAAGATTTCCTCCAATCTCCTCCCTCCTTTTATTTTTCTTTAAAAAAAAAAACAGTTAAAAGAAAAACGATTTGCTCATTTGGCGATAACTAATGGGGACATGAATTACAGAGCTGCCCCAGACTGAAGTTTATCTCTGTGTCAATAAATCTCTAAACAACGGCCATGAAACTAAGTACAGCCACCATTGCTTCTGTTTATTTCCATATTAATCAAAGCATCTGCTCCTGTCCTCTCTGTCTAGTAGAAGGAATGGGCAGTATGTTTTCTAGCATCTGAAAAAGCCATAAAGGTCACGCTTGTAGCGCTTGCATTTTGTGCTGTCCTGGCGTTTTACCATCGTTAAGAAGACCTGTGTCTTCCTGTGGGCTCCCGGGTTCCTAGAAGAGAGACTATATCTCAGCATTCCGATGTCTTACTTTTGCTCGTACACAGTCCTCTCCCCACCCGGCGTGCTCCCTGCCTAAGCCCAGGGAGAGGAAGAGAAAGCCCCCAAAGAAGCAGCTGCACGGGTAATGCAGCTCTAGGTTTTCGCGTGGGTCCCAAAGACGGTGTGAAATTTCTTGTCCTTTCCTGAAGTGGAAGGGAGAGGGCCGACGATCAGGTGGAGGAAGGAATTCCCACGAAATGTGCCTGTACCAACATCTATTTCCTCCGCTGAAACCCAGGGTCCATTTCAGGCAGCGAGGTGATGAGTGTTTTCAGCCCCCTGCTCCTTCTCAAATCAAAGCCGAACTGAACCCTAAAACTCTGGGAGCAGCTATCCGAGGCCCTTTCCAGACCCTGAGCACCGCCCTCTTCTCCGCCAGCACCCCTCACCCCACCCCACCCGACCTTGACCTCCCAGATCTACACAACCCTGCCCTTCCCTCCGCGTTTCCCCAGCCTTGACCCCAGCGAACTCCACTCCTGGGCCGCCCTAAACTCGGTCCAGTGCCTGGCTGAGGGGACAAGAGTCTGCACGTGGGTGCTCGGGCCGCAGGGTCCTCGGCGAGGTCCCAGTGAGGGGAGGCACAGCTGCGGGGCCAC